ATTCTGAACTTAGTCTGAGTATTTTGACCCTAAATTTATCCTAGTGCTAAGAAGAGCAAATTAGAATTTATGTTACATACTGCACAGATTTTTTTTTTCCTTTAATTCATACTCCTTCTCGCACGGCTGTTCTTTGCATGATATTATATTTATATGAACTTCACACCGATAGCACCAACTTTTATTAGTGTATTGCAACTAAAATCACTGAATCACAGAATGGTTGAGGTTGGAAGGGCCCTCTAGAGATCACCTAGTCCAACCTCCCCACTCTTTGTATTTTTTTTGTCTTCCTCAACAGAAACAAATATGAATTTTTCATATCTGCATTCTATGTAATACTATCCTTGAAAGATATTCTGCGTATTTCTCAAATATTTTAAATGGCCTTGTGCACAATTTCTTCTTACAGACCCTCACAGAAGGTCAGGGAGAAGCTTCCACAACATTCAATGGGTTGTTCTTCTCTGTTCTTGCCAAAAGATAACTGAGCATTTCTTGAATTCAAGGTTATGAGTTGACCAAAACAAAAATAATTTAATTTTGCTATTTTTTTATCTAAATCTAATTTTAAAACACAGCTGTACCCTGAAAATTGGCTTGCAAAATGGCACCTTTTTTATAATAGATCAGTTCCCGGTCTGAAATTGAACCCTTGCCTATTAAACTTATGGAAAAATACTATGATTCAGACTATGACTTCTTGCGGTTCCATTTCCAGTACACTACAAGTATTGCATTAACAAGCACGAGTAGTTCAACAGACCACTGACATTAGCACGTATCAAAACCAAGGGGAAGCCACGAGGCCTCTTCCCAATGAGCGTCCCTGCACGATGGCTCCGTGTCCTCCTTCTCCCCTGCTGCTGCTGATGACAGTGGGACGGTACCAGAAAGGAGATCTCAGCCCGTGACATGCTGGAGAACCCAATATGTTGGGTTCTGAATGCCCAGAGCTGCAATATAATACAGTATATTGGAATATACTTGGTTTCCTTCTAGTATTAAGGAAATATAAAGGAAAACGCACCCATTTATTTGTCCTGTTTGTAGGAATGTATCATTTGCCGGCTGAGAACAAACATCTGAATGCAGGTTTTTATCTGCAGCTGGGTCACTGCTCTTTTCCTAATGGATCACAGACACAAATATAGAAATCCCTCTTACCCCATATCCTTTAAGTCATTGCACGCACTAGAGAAACATTCAGTCGAGATCAGCTTAGCAGACACCTCACTGCTTTCCTTAAAATTTCATGAGAAAACAGGCAGCTTCTTTGGACCCCTCGTTTTGAGGGCCACTCGGGGTCACTGTGTCACCAATCCCTGTGACCGTGTCCTGAAACGCTCCTGCTCACGTGGAAGCACGGCTGCTGCACTACAGTGCTAAGAGCTGCATAGGCCCTAAGAGTTATAAAGGAAATACACATGCAATATATGTCCCTATGTTCATAATAATTTCTTTACTGTGCAAGCATTGTCACCGAATGATTTCCAAAACGCGAACACCAAAAACATGCATTCTAAAAAAGATTCTATTCAGGATTTTGCATTGGCTAACAAATTCTTTAAAGGACAGGACACGCCAGGACAGAACACGTCAGCACAGAGCTCTGAAATGGCATTATCTGTGGCCCTCTTTTCTGCTCTCTCCTGTGCACAGTTGTTCAAAAGCAAGACAGGACTTTGGTCAATAGGTCCAAACCGAAGCCACGCGTGAGTTTTTCTTAGGCACAGGGAAATGCTCACTTCCACCACAGCACATTCCCACACCTCCATATGCTCACCCACAATATAGTGTAGGCAACACGTGAGGCCACGCAATAAACCAGAACACACCGAAAAAGATGTGATATTGCATTAAGTCTGACATTTAATTTCCCTTCTGAAGCAAAGGAACACAGAGAGTTGAGCACATAGGAAAACGTGACATAACATGCAAATGTGATAGAAACACCAGGATATGCAAATTGAGTGCCATTAGAGATGAATGATAAAATAACTCGTCCGAAAAAAAGAAAAAATACTAGAAGGAAACCAAGAACCCGCATACATCATTTTCAAACACCAGATAACCTATGTTGGAAAGAAAAAATAAAAAAAGCTACTGGCATTGAACTAAAATGAAAGAAAAGGACAAACACTTTAATTTACCTTTAATTAACACAGTGACAACAGCCAGCTTCACGGGCCACCAATGCTGATAGTTCATGCACGAGATTAACCTGATCTTTCACTTTTTTCACTCTCAGTAACTGGCTATTCCGGACTTTTTCCCCTCCTCCTTGCCCCAACACACACGAGAACTCAACAGTGGGAAACGAAAAGAATGGTCCTTGCTTAGAGCTTCACAAGGCACTTGAAGGAAACAAGCTCTGTTTCATGTCTTAATCAAGGAAGACATTAATGCCCCAATGAAGGAAGGTGATAGTTATCTGCCTGTTGAGCAACACCTTGTGAGCTTGGCTATCCTGTGGCTATCACCTTTATGAATACACGGTGTAGTTATGGCAGGAGTTTCACATTACTTAAATGTGAAAGGCTCAAAAGGGCTCATGCCCTTTGGAAACATTATATCATGTGTAAAAAACTAATTCAATACAACTTCTCACTATGGATAATCTGAAGAGATGGAATAATGGAGCTTGAAATGCCATGAGGAATATCAAGTTTAAGACACCTACAAGCTGAAGCCCCAGTTAATCACTGCAGTCCAAATATTTAAAAGCTATAGAGACTATATTACTGCATCTTTGGTATTCATGGTTTTGTATTCCTACAAGGGTTCCTATTCATTAGAATATTTCATGATACCTTCCAGATATACGTAG